AAAGCCTGGCTAATGAAAATAGGACAGCTGACAGATGCAGAGAAGGAATATTTTTTTAACAATTAATCTGTAAGTCAGTGATTTTTTGGGCAGAGATTGTTCAAAATGAAACCGGCAGGAGGGCGGCCGGATGGCCAGCGGCTGAGGCAAGTGAGCAGGTCCGGAGGCCGACCACGCCGGCGACGAAGTCCAGTCAGTGGCCTGGAAGGTGGCCACTTTCGCCAAATCCAACGTGGACTAAGAGATGGCGGCGGCGGCGGCGCAGAAGCAGGCGATGGCGTGGGAGTCAACAGCGACGAAGGAGCAGCTTTTTCCGTTCTTTACACGTGATCTGATATCGTCACATTGGTGTTATTCCTGGGTCAACAAAACTAATATTGATGCAAGTTCAACAGTGCGAGTGAACAGTCCCATTGTAGTGATGTCATAGTTTTGTGACATGAATCATCATCACACCATACACCAACACTGTAGCTCTAATCCCATAAACTGTAACAATCATCACATCCTAACATATAACCCTCATCCTGAAATGATCTGCCTCCTGTTTTAGGTTCTCTTTCCTTAAAATTTTCCAAGCTGCAAAGCTATGACATCATAACAGCGTGATTGGTTAGATGCAATCTTAATCCAGGAACAACACAAATATGAGAATATTTAATACACCGTTCTTTACTGGGTCTTACCATTGCTCTCCAGAATGGAGACATGTCTGCAAACATAAATTCCTGCAGTTTAGAGTAACAGTCTTCTTTTGACTGCACTTGTATTTACATTTGAACCACAATTCATTAGCCTGACAATATCAAAGCCATTTTATTCTGTAAGTAACTAGTTTTTCTGTTGTATAGTTGCATGCCAAGTTTCAGTTTTACATTGGCTTTCTTGGACTAAATTGGTTTTTCAACAGGAAGGCAGAGCGAAGGCAGCTTTTTAGTGAGCAGTGAAGTTTATGGAAAGAGCACACTCACTAGGTGAACTACCAACTTCATACAATACAGCTGTCAACATTTATGACTGATGTCTTCTGCTCAGTATAAACAGTCTAGAATGGGAAATCAAATGACTGAAAGAGGTTGAGTGCAATGGTATGAATGGAAGCTCAATAAAAGGCTTCAATATGACTTCAAAATACTGAGAATAAACAACCACATCAGTGCTTATAATATATCCATTACACGTAGGATATAGTTTAGTATATATTATGAAAGTTTTCTTTCATTTTTTTTTCTGTCTTTTTGCCTGTCCCGTTTGGCTCTTTTGCCATCAGAATTGTTGTCTAAAGGCAAAGAAAGATGCCCAACGGATTTACTTTACCAAATTGACCATCCCAGCCTTGCCGTAATGGTCCATTTGATTCACCTTTTATTGTTTATTTTATTTTCACTTACTGAATACGGGACAGACTTGACTGGGGGAAAGAAGGGGAGAAAGAAAGAGGGAAAGAGAAACAGCTGAGAAGAGGGACGGGGGAGAAGGGCAAAAGACAAAAACCAACAGAACGGGCAGAAAAAAAATGCATATATCAATCACCTGGATCACCTGCTGAGAAAGAAAAAATAAAACAAGCAGAAGAGAACAAGAGTAATAGAATAAACAACATCACAATGATATATGGGAATATGACAGTAAATACTAAATATTAAACATTATTGTGCAGCACATAAGATCAACAGAACACAGTGTGCTTTGAGGTAGGAGCCAAAAAGGGTGTAGTTTGTGGGTGTGATCACCCGTGTGTACACCTGTGAGCATGGACGCGCTTGTTTTTTTTAAAGGTTCCTTCATGTAATGATCTGCTAGAGGGTGTGGGGGGGCCACAGCCCCGTCCTCCAGGGCATGAAGCAGGTATGGAGGAGATCAAAACTCCAGACATCTAAAGGCCCCCAGAACACAAGAGACCAAGGAAGACCAACAGAGGGGCAGCTGTGCCACTGTCCCAGAAAGAGCTGAGGAGAGTCCCAGATGAGGGCTCACTCAGCAGCCGCGGAGCAGAAGCCAGGGGGAGTTGCAGTGACGCGCCCATGAGCTCCGCCGGCAGCCAGCTGTGCCTGAGTGACCGAGCCCCAGGCCGAGAGGCCGGGGGCACCCCACCCCTGAAGGAAAGTTTTCTTTCATAAAGAAGTTCTTTTGAATGTTTGTCCTAATGAATCGAATCAATTTCTTTGCTAAAAGCTGAGTTTAGCCAGGTTTGGTACCACTTTAATGACAGTTATTTAAAGCCAGAAAAAGGTTTTTGCAACAAAAACAAATTAATCCTAATTAAGTGGTGTACTGTACCTAAATTGACTACAACAATTAGAGAAAATGGCTACAAATACTGAAACTGGTGAAATAACCAGAGGCAATGGCTCATTTTAAATGGTTGCTCTCTTTTCGTTTAGCTGTAATAAAAGAATATGATATACCAACTCACTGTTACCTGTGTAGCAAAAATGGTAGACATAAAGAGCTCGTGAGGCTTTCAGCATTAATGCTCATAGTAAATTCTTTTTTCCAATGATTTTCGGTCAAATTTACTTACCCAATTAGACTCACCAGAGCCAAGGATGCATGATTTAGACGGGGTCTAAATGAACTGGTTTTGTCCCAGTAGGGACTGTCATTAACATGGACTCCTGCTTAGAGCCTCAAGCTTTAAACTGTCCTTAAACTTGCAAAGCAAAAATGAGAAATTAGCAAATGTCAATCACCGGCTGACACTATTATCAAGAGAAGTCAGTGGGACTCTTGAGAGGACCCGCAGGGGTGGTGCTAGGGTACAGCCTCTATCACTTTGTCTGAATATCAACTCGTGATGTTATGTTCACCCTTCACACTGTGCTGTTCTTGCCCTGGGTGAGTCAAAGCAAATCATCTCATCCTGTCACCTTATTTGTTTAATATGACAACCATTGGAAATAATGTAGGGATACCAATTACATGCCATTAAGGTACAACCATCAGTAGCACTGGATTTCAAAGGAGTCACCATTTCATGTGCTTCACTATGTGTACAATACAATAAAAAGAAACTCAGAACTGCTAGTATGCCTTTATCCCACGGCATCAAGCACTGCTGTTATGCAAATCAAGAGTTTATCAGCCAGGAGACCAGGATTTGTGTCTTGTTTGGGAAGTTGGTGAAATCTGCTTTGCTTTATTTTTACTTGCTTTTGCTTTTAATTGGAGTTATGTTAAGGAATCCTAAGGCACTTAGTTTATGAAAATATTAGAGTTACAATTAAAATATGCCACATCGCAACATTAAGCCTTCATACTGAAAAGCAAAGCTCCGCACTATGTTCCAAGGTGACGCCAATAATTGTTTCTCTGTTGCTGCTGAGTCATGGCACATCGACCATGGGACACCTTGTGTGCATGTATGTGATGCCAGCAGCTTTGTCCAAATTTAAAGTGTGTGATGCCTCTGGAACAAGATCAGGCTGGAATTTAGTTTGCTTAAATCTCTTTTTCTCCCCAGTTTGGTGTAACATTAAATTTTTTATTAAGCATACTTAATAAATGTGAAAATTTATTAAGTATTAAGTATTCGAACAACTACTCTAATAGCAGCATCAAAGAATTTGAAACCCAATGTCCCCGACCTTTATCTTTCCATAGTGCAGTTTTAGGTTTTTAGATACTGTGAGGATAAAGGGACTGGGACATGTAAAAAAAAAAAAAAGCACATCCAATGGTGCCTGGAGGCTTAGAGGCTGTCTTTTGTCATTTTGAGTAGAAGAGCAAAGTGTGAGTTTGTGGCCCAGCTGGACATCGAATTGGATAACGAGAAAGTATTTTTTTTCTCTTTTTTCCTCACACTGAGCACCCCCCCCCCCCCCCCGCCCTGCATAAACTTCTCCCAGGTATAGAGTTCTTTTGATGGAAGTACATTTAATATGTTAGTGAAAGCAACGGTCATTAAAAAGGCATAGTATTTGCAAATTGTACTGTAACAACCTGACAACATGCAGAAGATTGGTGCAAAATCACAAGTTTAAATTATGAGCATCTGTGTCTGTGTGTGCGCATGTGTGTGTGTGTGTGAGAGAGAGAGGTAGATAGATGAGGATTAACTGTGATTTATTTGTGACATTTGCTTTGATACTTTGCAGTACAGGTGATGTATTTACTACTAAATGATTAAAATCCTGGATGCAAAGACCTGATAAATGTTACTTGGCAACTTATTTCCTGACTTCCTCATGTTGACAAGGACCTTCTGAATGCACCATTAAACAAGTGGCCATTGAGCTGCAAAAAGGTACAGCAATTTCCTCCCATTTTAAAGCCTTTAGTAGAGGACAGGTCTGTCAACCTGGTCTGATATACTAGGTTTTGAAATATGGACTGCCAGAGGATGCAGCCTTTGAACTGACGGGCAAAACAGGACAGAAGTGCCAGATAGAACCCCCTGCCTCTGCCATTGTGTTTTCCTACAGCCAGCCCAGTGCTTTCCTTTCTTAGTTATTTCTCAGCTGCCTGCCTTATCATCCCATAAAGTACTGAAGCTGTGCCATCATTCATTGCTGTGCTATATTTGGTTAAGAGGAACACCTTACCAGTGTTATTTAAGGTATACGTCTTGACACGTCAGAATTACACAAAATTGTGTAGCTGACTACATGGAGAAATGAGTCATATGATAACTCAGGAACAGAAATTGTGCATCACACAATACGTCTGTGAAGGTTCTCAGTCATCCAGGTCATCGTAGTCAAAGGAGCTTGCAAAGAAAAGCGTCTGGACTTCTTTAAGTTACTTGAAGACGTTTCACCTCTCATCCGAGAAGCTTCTTCAGTTCTAAGGTCAAATGGTGGAGAGTCCCAGATATAAACCTAGTGGGAGTATCCCCCCACAGAGGGACAAAAGGACCCCCTGATGATCCTCTAATCGCCTGAGCCAAGGTGTGAAACTGGGCGTGGGTCCCAATCAGCCAGAGTTTCGGGTGTGTTCATTGTGAAACCTGGCCCCACCTTATCATGCGAATTCCTGAGGTCAGCTGGCCCAGGATGTGAGTGGGCCTTAAGGCGTCTGGGAAGGGATCTCAAAACTGGATTATAGATGGCAGACAGTTGGTGTCGTAAACCCTCGCCTCTGTTCAAAGATGGTCGCTCACAGTGGACATAGATGGCTTCTTTCACTCCTCTTTCAAACCATCTGTCCTCTCTGTCCAAAATGTGAACATTGGCATCCTCGAAAGAGTGTCCTTTATCCTTAAGATGCAGATGGACAGCTGAGTCTTGTCCTGTGGAGGTGGCTCTTCTGTGTTGTGCCATGCGCTTGTGAAGTGGCTGTTTGGTCTCTCCAATGTAAAGGTCTGGGCATTCCTCGCTGCACTGTACAGCATACACCACATTGTTAAGTTTGTGTTTTGGCGTTTTGTCTTTCGGGTGAACCAGTTTCTGTCTGAGCGTGTTGCTGGGTCTGAAATACACTGGGATGTCATGCTTGGAGAAAACTCTCCTGAGTTTCTCTGATACACCGGCTACATAGGGGATGACAATGTTGTTGCGTCTGTCTTTCTTATCCTCCCTTGCTGGTGTCTGGTCTTCTTTTCTGTGCCTCTTTGCTGACTTTAAGAACGCCCATTTAGGATAGCCGCACGTTTTGAGTGCTTCCTTTACATGTGTGTGTTCCTTCTTTTTTCCTTCAGGCTTAGAGGGAACATGTTCTGCCAGGTGGTGTTGGGTCCTAATTACTCCAAGTTTGTGTTCCAAAGGGTGATGTGAGTCAAAGAGGAGGTACTGGTCCGTGTGTGTGGACTTCCGGTAAACTTCGATGTTGAGGTTGCCGTTCTCTTCAATGTGCACGGCGCAGTCCAGGAAAGGCAAACAGTTGTCCTTTGTGTCTTCCCTGGTGAGCTTGATGTTTTTATCCACAGCGTTAATGTGCGCAGTGAAGGATTCCACTTCTTGTGTCTTGATTTTGACCCAGGTGTCGTCCACATATCTGTACCAGTGGCTGGGTACTCTTCCTTTGAAAGAGCCAAGAGCCTTCCTTTCCACTTCCTCCATGTAAAGGTTGGCTACAATAGGTGACACGGGGGAGCCCATGGCACAGCCATGTTTTTGTCTGTAAAAGCCTTCGTTGTACTTGAAATATGTAGTGGTGAGGCAGGCATCACACAATACATTCCCCCTATGATAACCAAGCTCTTCAGATCATCCTGTATTAGATATGTCTCTGCAAACTGTAAAGGCACAATTAGATACAAAAAAGTCACAATTGATAACTTTTTGGGGTTAGTCAGAAAGCAGACACAAATACACACACTGGAAAGCTGTAGGTTAAGCTAAAGCAGACACAGGAGGCAAAAAGGCCAAGGTTAAATTCAAAGGTAGCAGATAAAATCAAATGGTTGGAAAGCTCAAACATAACAAAGAGAATCTGATGATGAAACAATGGTGGACTGGTGGTACTCAGGGAATGAATAATGGAAGTACATACGGGTGAATAAGATAGAAGATAAAGGAGATGAGGGCTTTTTTGAGCTGGCAACTACTTTACTCATTCCCTCATCTACAAAGTGCAGTAACTAGAGAAAAAATGCAGACAGTTGTTAGCAAAGTTCAGACACTACAGGGATGCATCACTCCTACATAATAAAGCTAAATTAATGTCCAAACACCTGCACCATATTAAAGCTACTTTGTGTACTTGGACAAAAATAGCATAGTCATTGAGCCATATCTCTCCACATTAATAAAGAGAGTTATTAATTAACTTACAACAAACTTTGATTGTACCATATCACCCTATAAAAGCACAATGAAAACTGCAGCAGTTGTGCTTGCATGTACTAATCTTCAATTAGTTGCCAATCCACTGTATTTATCAGTAAGCAAAGTCTCAACTAGGTGTCAGGTTTGATAGCATTTTTAAAAAACCTGCTGCTCAGACAAATGAAGAGACACGGTTCTGGTCGATGGATATAGTGTAAAATATCTGTAGACCGCTTTTTATTGACAGTTTTGAATTACACTGTAGACTGGATGAAATGCATAGTTTTGAACAGCACTATTAAACGGCAACACCTGTTCAACTGTTCATTAATACAAAAATCTAATCAACCAATTACAATGCAGCAACTAAATGAATTTACACATGTAGACATGGTCAAGACAAAATGCTGGGTGTAAGTTTGAAAGACAGGTGATTTTAAGTGACTGGCACCACCGCTGTTGGTGCCAAAAGGATTTCAGAAACTGCTGGGATGTCTCTAAGGTTAACATAATAATAATAATAATAATAATAATAATAATAATAATAATAATAATAATAATAATAATAATAATAATAATAATACATTTTATTTATTATTAATAACAAAGAATGATCCTTGGGCCTTGTCGATGTCAAAGGTATAAGGAGAATGGATAGACTGCTTTTGTCTAGCTGATAACTCAAATAGCCACTCACTGGGGTGCCTGTGGCTCAGGTGGTGGAGCAGATCAGCTACTGATTAGAATGTTGGTAGTTCAATCCTTGGCTTCCCCAGTCTACATGCCAAACATTTTTGGGCAATATACTAACCCTAAGTTGTATCTTGGGGTTATGGGTTACACTCCGATGTGTTCATCGGAGTGTGAATGTGTGCAATTGTTGGTTAGTTTGCACTTGAGTTTAGAAGTGCTTGTATGAGTGGGTGTTAATGGGTGAATGAGGCATGTCGTGTACAGTGCTTTGAGTACTCCGGGAGAGTAGAAAAGAGCAATATAAGAATCAGTCCATTCCAACCAAGGTATGCAGAAGAGCATCTCTGTACAAGACTTCTAATCATGAATCAGATGGGCTACAACAGCAGAAGACCATACTACGTGCCATTCCTGTTACCCAAGAACATGAAACAACACTGGACAATAGAAAATTGGAAAAACATTGCCTGGTCTGATTAGGGATGGTATCGTTTAGGTTTTATCCGACACCAGTACCAACCCTGTACTTTTGAAATGGTGTCAGTGCTTAAACGGTGCTCGAACCGGTGCTTAAAGAATGGAGAACACAAACTTTGTCCTAAAACCTCTCATGTTCAGCTGTTTTTTTGTAAAAAGATAACAATGTTAGCCTTTTCTGCAGCTATAGGGGATTTATGGCATCACTCTTGGCTGGAAGCAGTGCTTAAACAATGGAAAAAACAAACTTTGTCCAAAAACCTCTCATGTTTAGCTGTTTTCCACTTTTTCTTTGGTCATTTTAGCCTTTTTGGCCAGGGTGAAGGGAGTATCTGCCATCAAACAAGAAGACAGCCACATGTAATTACGACGGTGTTTGCTAGTTCACCTTACATGCATTAATGTAATAACGTGGTTAGCCTACTCAACGTAAATTACACACGAACAACATTAAGCTACTCACGCAGAGAAGAACGGCTGCTGCTGCCATCATCATCCGTCATCATTTCTGCTACACTGACAGGACTAGGGGCCAGGACTCTCTTCTTCGGGTTTTTGGGGGATGTAACTCCGGGTCAAATAACAGGCAACCCACGCGCAGTAGATGCGCTCGGTGTGAGGTGTGAGGTCTTGCAGCAAGCTATCAAATACGGCGCATTTCTCGGCTTTTAACAAAATGCTATACGTCACCAGGTGTTTCATCAGATTCGAGGAGTTACCTCCTCAGAATCAGAATCAGAATCAGAAAGGGTTTTATTGCCAAATGTTGAGCAGGTTTACAACATTAGGAAATTGCTGCGGTGCTTCAGTGCAAACATACTGTCATAAATTGCGCTTAAATAGACATGAAAAAATAAAAGTAAAAATAAGAATTAAAAGTGCTACGTAGAAAGATATATACATGAGTGCAGGTGGTGATCAATGCCAAACATGGAATGATGCAGTGAACACAGCGTAGGGTCATGTGTTAGTGGTGGGGACAGTCGTACGTTTATTGTTCATGTGTCCAACAGCAGAGGGGAAGAAACTGTTCTTATGGCGAGAGGTTCTGGTGCGAATGGACCGGAGCCTCCTGCCTGAGGGGAGCAGGTCAAACAGACTGTATCCAGGGTGAGAAGGGTCAGGTGAGATCCGAGCTGCACGCCGCAGTGTCCTGGAGGTGTACAGGTCCTTTGCACAGTATCACCTTAAAGTACTTGTTGCAGGCTGCTGAGTTTGCATCTTTTCCTGTGAAGTACAGCCAGACTTTTGACCGCTTCACTTTGGGCATTTTTAATCTGTAGTTCTGCTCTAAAAGAATGCACGTACCTGGGCCCGCCTACTACGCTCGCAAAGGTAAAATGATTGGCTGGAATCCAAATTGTATGATGTCTCAGTAAAAAAAAGCACAGAAACGAAGCACCGAAATGTGCGCTGCTTTTCGGTCTGGTTACTACCGTTTATGTCAGAACCGGTACCCATCCCTAGATCTGATGAGTGTCAATCTCTGTTGCCACATTCAGATGGTAGAGTTGAAACTAAGCATAAATTACATGAAGGCATGAATTTTGCTTCTATCAAAGGTTCAGGCTGCTGGTGGTAGTGTGTTCTTGGCACACTTTGGGCCCCTTACTACTAACTAAACATGATTTAAATGTTAGAGACTGCCTAAGTTTTGTCGCTGACCATTTTCATCCCTTTATGACCACAGTGTGCCCATTTTCTAATGGCTGCTTCCAGCAGGACGTCACAAAGCTCCAATCATCTGAAAGTGGTGTTTTGAAAATGACAATGAGTTCACTGTACTTAAATGGCCTTTTCAGTCTCACTTATCTCAATCCATTAGCGCACCTTCGGGATTTGGTGGAATGGGGGAATCACATCATGGAAATCTGCAGCAACTGTGTGATACTATCATGTCAATATAGACCAGAATCTCAGAGGAATGTTTCCATCACCTTGTTAAATTTGTGCCATGAAGAATTAGGGGAGTTCTCAAGGCAACAGGGGGTCCAATCCGAAACTAGCAATGTGTACCTAATAAAGTCTCCTGTGAGTGTTGTGCACTATATAGTGGGTTAATTTCAGCATATTGATTTATGTGGTGGTAATAAGGGCAAGGAGGTGTGGCTACTCTGAAATAACAGATGAGTTAGAATCTTAGAAATTCATGAAAAATTTTACTGTGGTGTTGCTGAAAGTGGCATCACAAATGAATGTGGACCTAAGGGGATGACAGTGAGAAAGCAAGAGTGAGCGAGTGCCTGTGTGATAGGAGAGAATATGCCAGAATTTGTAAGATGGGACCCCCCCCCCTGTGAGGTCTATTAGCTGATAGATCTACAAAGTGAACAGGCTTCCATGACAGTAGGTGGGACATTATAATACAGATTTAAGTGCTTCCCATTGGTCCACCTTCAACCTGCATAAAAGATTATAAAGAGGGAGGTGCTACAACAGGCTGAAAAAAATGAGGCTTTGGAGAAAAAAACTCAGGAATTTCATCGCTTCCAGTTTTGACTTCTTCTCCTCCTATATCAGTGCTGATGTGGAGGAATTGCCTGATGGGTGACACCATTCAGGACATCATTCAGGAGAATACTGCAGTGGTATTTGGCACTGAAACAGCAAGCTCCAATGGATGTGGTTGTGAAACAACTATGACTTGTAGAATGTGATTTGAATGAAAATAGTCAAAATATTCAAAGGTTTGTCTTGCTAATGAATGTAACTCTTCTTTCCATTATGTTCCCACAACTCTGCACTCTGCAACCACTTGTCTCATGTTTACTTCTACATGTTTTTTTTTTAAATCCTAAAGAGAAATGGAAGTGAAGCACAATTACCAAAACACACCGCTCATCAGCTGTGAGCTTGGATGGATGCAAGTTATTGGTCCTTGCTTTTCATGAATATATTCAAATTGTAGTTGTCACGAACCGTAGTTCAGCACACAAGCTGGACCCAGAAGCAGAGACAACACGCCAAGGTGCGCGCAAAATATATTTTTAACTAAGGGTGTCCCGGAAGGGTCAAAGGAAAACACGCCAATTAACTGGAAAACCAAGGGGCCGGGAGATAAAAAACTCAGGAACGCCGTAGTCGGGACTGAGGGAGGCTGCAACAGAAAGAGGAAGAGAGTTACTGGGGAACGGGGAAATAACAGCATAAGCAGGGTAGAGTTGTTAATCTTACGATCAAGGCTGGGCCGTGGGAACCAGAGGGAGGGGTGAGGGTCCGCGGGAGAGCTCCAGGGAAAACAGAGGAGATGAAGACTGGTGGTGATCCGAACTCCAGGCAGGCAGGAGGACAGGCAGGTGAGGGCTCAAAACACTGAGCTGGGTTAAATAGTTCACCTGATGATCGCCTGGGATGGGATGCAGGTGTGGAGTCGACAGCCACACCCGTGGGCGTGGGCATTCCATCAGCTCCTTGGACACCGGGCCGCGGACCATGACAGTAGTGGTGAGTGCTGAGTTCCACACTATGACATTTGAAGAGACTCACATTTGTTTTTGCTACTAAGTGAGGTGAATCATTGCAGTCATCCTTTTTTGTGAACATCCAAGAGCAGCTATGACAACTCCAGTGCCGAGACCTGTGGAGTACTACACTGGAGGAAGAAACAGAACTGGAACAGATAATTGGGCTTTTTTGTTTTTCATTGACTTTCATTCAGTTCTAGTCAGGGGATCTGCAAAATATTTGAACAGCTCCAGATACCCATGTTTCACTGTAGCACTGTCAACTAACATTTTTTTCGTTCAGTGGAGGGTCATCTTCAACAGTCATTTGCAGTTTACTCTACACAAGAAAGTAATCTTTTTCCCCCATTTCTTACCAGCGTGCTGCTGACAGAGCCTTTGACATTAAAACCACATTTTAATCAATCATTTTACTTCCAGTGGGTGGACAAAAAAGTCATAGCAGTATCCTTGCCTGGACACACAGTGTCAGACTTTAGCAGACAGGGGTAATGCAAATCTTAAACAATGACAAATAGTCCTTGATTAAACTTCTGCCTGTGAGGGGAGCTGGATTTGATAGCATGAGAGTGCGAGATCATTTGCAACGATTATGTCAGATTCTTGTTATAGAGAGCCAATCCCCGAGAATTAACTTCAGTTCCGGAACTCTAATCATTTTTAACCATCCAGCTGAAATGAAGGCAAGAGTGATCGATATGAGTTTGACTGATTCCATGTGGGGTCACTCCACTTCTTATCTTCTTCTCCAATAGCATTGACAGATGAATTTAACAAGAGGGGCACTATCTGCCTTGCCAAGAATAGAACAGCTAAACTATCTGCGGCCTTGCTTGCATGGTTTCAGCACTATTGATGAATATATCACTGTGAGTTCAGTCAGAAGGAACCAATCCTCCTCCTCTTCTTTTCCTTTTCTTTCTTTTTTTTTATCATCACTTTGGTTAGATTTCTTCCCACGGAGCTGGGTGCGATGACCCACAGTAAGCTGCATTTTTACAAGCAGACCTGAGTGCTGTTAAATGGAAATGCTCTCTATACAAAAATGCATTTATTCCATCTAATCTGCTTAAGGTCATGAGTGCTGTAATAGCTCAGTAATCAAGTTGTAGGCAATGCATGTGGTGCAGTACATAAAAATAGTTTCTAACAGCAAATGTATGTGTGTGTATGTGTGTATCCATCAATAATTAAATATACCTATTGTTAACAATAAAGAAAAGCCTAATTATTGGTAGCTGACAAATAGTTATAGTTTGTTATTACTTATGTTTATTAATGTAATGAGTTTATGAATTGAAAAAATACTTTTTGTTAATTTTACCAACTCTAAATGTTGACAACGGTTTCCTTACTAATTAGTGTGCCCATTGTCATCCCTTAGATGAACATCTCCTTGATAGACATCTAGAAAATGCATGAGCTAAAAACAAAGTGTAAACCTACTCAAAACGTTTTTTCATTTTTTAATAGAAATAAAAACGTCTCAGCTCCCACCTGAGCAAGTAAACCCAGGTTCAATTCAATTCAATTCAATTTTATTTATATAGCGCCAAATCACAACATAAGTCGCCTCAAGGCGCTTCATAGATACAGAGAAAAAAACCCAACAATCA